TCTAATTGCTTTTTTAATACTTTGTTTGAATTGCCATGTATTTATTATGTTAATCCCTGTGTTGTTTCTTGCACTCTCTGTCAGAGGCGGTCCTGGCTAGTTTTACACCCTGGGCGAACCATCCCTCGCCTTCTCTGTTGCTGGTAAGCAGTTATCTTGCGCCGCAGAGCACTATGAGCCTCCGCCGTATTCCTGTCTGTGACCCCCGTTCAACCCACAACCGGCAGGATTCGAGAGGTAGTCCAGAAAACTAGCAAGTTTTTTTTTGTTTTTTTTTTGTTTTTTTTGGAGGGCCCTCACATAGATTGCACCCTGGGCGGTCGCCCACATTGCCCATAGCAAAAACCGTCCCTGCTCTCTGTAAAGAAAATAATGTGCTATACAAATAGATTTGCTTTGCATTGCATTTCCTTTCCTTGCGTTTGTCTGACCACAAACATACAGTCAGGTCCATAATTATTTGGACAATGATACAGTTGTCATCATTTTGGCTCTGTACACCACCACAATGGGTTTTAAATGAAACAATGAATACCTGCTTAAAGTGCAGACTCTCAGCTTTCATTTAAGGCTTTTTTCAAAAATGTAGTATGAACCGTGTAGGAATTACAACCATTTCTTCACACAGTCCCCCGACTTTAAGGGCTCATAAGTATTTGGACAAACTAACATAATCATAAATTAAACAGTCAGTTTTAATACTTGGTTGCAAATCCTTTACAGTCAATGACTGCCTGAAGTGTTGGACACATAGGCATCATCAGATGCTGGGTTTCTTCCCTGGTGATGCTCTGACAGCCCTTTACTGTAGCCGTCTGCACTTCCTGCTTGTGTTTTGGGTGTTTTGCCCTCAGTTTTGGCTTCAGCAAGAGAAACGCATGCTCAATTGGATTCAGGTCAGATGATATGACTTGGCCATTGCAGAACATTCCACTTCTATGCCTTAAAAATGTCTTTGGTTGCTTTTGCAGTATGCTTCAGGTCAATGTCCATCTGCACTGTGAAGCATCGTCCAATGAGTTTTGAAGCATTTGGTTGAATCTGAGCAGATAAACACTTCAGCTTTCATCCTGCTGCTCTTGTCAGCAGTCACATCATCAATAAATACAAGAGAACCAGTTCCACTGGCAGCCATACATGGCCATGACATAACAGTACCTCCACCATGCTTCACTGATGAGGTGGTGTGCTTTGGATCATGAGCAGTTCCTTCCCTTCTTCCTTCTCTTGTCTTCCCATCATTCTGGTAGTTGATCTTTGTTTTATCTGTCCATAGTATGCTGTTCCACAACTGTACAGGCTTTTTAGATGGTTTTTGACAAACTCTAATCTGGCCTTCCATTTTTAAGGCTAACCAATGGTTTGCATCTTGTGATAAACCCTCTGTATTTATTCTAGTGAAGTCTTGTCTTGCTTACAAGAGCAGCAGGATGAAAGCTGAAGTGTTTGGGGCACCATTATCTGCTCAGATTCAACTAAATGTTTCAAAACTCATTGGACGATGCTTCACAGTGCAGATGGACATTGACCTGAAGCATATTGCAAAAGCAACCAAAGACATTTTTAAGGCAAAGAAGTGGAATGTTCTGCAATGGCCAAGTCATATCATCTGACCTGAATCCAACTGAGCATGCGTTTTTCTTGCTGAAGCCAAAACTGAGGGCAAAACACCCAAAACACAAGCAGGAAGTGCAGACGGCTGCAGTAAAGGGCTGGCAGAGCATCACCAGGGAAGAAACCCAGCATCTGATGATGCCTATGTGTCCAACACTTCAGGCAGTCATTGACTGTAAAGGATTTGCAACCAAGTATTGAAACTGACTGTTTAATTGATGATTATGTTAGTTTGTCCAAATACTTATGAGCCCTTAAAGTTGGGGGACTGTGTGAAGAAATGGTTGTAATTCCTACATGGTTCATACTACATTTTTGAAAAAAACCTTAAATGAAAGCTGAGAGTCTGCACTTTAAGCAGGTATTCATTGTTTCATTTAAAACCCATTGTGGTGGTGTACAGAGCCAAAATGATGACAACTGTATCATTGTCCAAATAATTATGGACCTAACTGTATGTTGGATGTTTTGGTACAAACAAGCTACAATGTTAGGTGAAACTAGACGTTGAGAAATAGGTCTGTTTTTGTTACTCTCATTTACAACAGTTTCAGGAAGTATGGCCAAACAATATTTTTCTATGCTTGAAATTACTTACAACTAAAACACTAATTTAGATTAAGTGTAATGAACATCTTGAGTAACAATATCTAGGAGAAGTGGAGCTGAGGCTTTGTCAAATCCACCTCTGAGGTGGGATCCAAATAATCCTGAAATGTGGTAACAAATTGATCCAGATCTCTGCCTTAACTTTGAAATACCCAGTTTTCAGATCAGATCAGGATTTAATCCAATCCGGCCAGGATAATCCTATCAGATCACTTTGAAATGCTGGGCCCAGGTGATGTATACCACTTCTATGTGGCATATAGTGGCTATTTAAACTTTTTAAAATCATATTTTCAGATATAGATACCATTCAAATGTCAAACTATTAAGCTCTTTAAGGACATTTCTGCTATCACTCTGCTTCTTTCCACTTTTTAAATATATTGTGCTTTTTTAATCATTTCTTGTGATGGCAAAGCATACAAAGCATTATTTTCTTTCAGCCCTTTTATTTCCAGCTTTCACAGTATTACAATTTAGCGTCCAGCTTTCAAACAATGTTTTTAATCTCTTGGCATCTTGACAAAGTGTGCAGGGATGATGTTTTCTTCATAGGCAAACCAGAAAGTTAACATCACCCTGGTTCCCTCAATAAAAAGCCACTAGTTTTGTTCTATTGTATTTTGGATTATTGCATAACCTAAGTATTTTAACCTTGTGTGTACAAACATGCTGACCCTTCTTCCATTTGGACACCCCTCTATAGAGACAGAGCACAATGCGTCATAATCTGAAAACCATGCCCCCAAAGGGGAAACGAGGCCCGCTCTCCCCTCCGCTTCTTCGCTCGTTCGCTGTCATTCTGCCTCCGCAGCCGCGCCTTCAAGTCTCCACGACTGAATTGCTAGCTAGCTAGCTAAAATTATTAGCTATAGCTAGCTAATAATTAGCTAATAATAAGATGGCAAAGGATTATTTTAGCACGCTATGCCTACCAGAGAGGCAACGGTATATTGATAAGCTTAATATTGCCGGTCTACCTCAGTGTCCCTTCTCCTTACCTTGCTCGTCTTGGAAAAAACATGAGCAGAAATCAGTCAGTTAAGTAAATCGACCACTACTCCCCCATCTCCACATTCTCCCCTTACTGCAGTCCAAGCATGATGTGGAGATTCTTTTTTAAGAAGATGAGCATTTCGGCATGGTCAGCCGTCAGCCTGCTCCTACTACCGGCACACGTTGTTGTTTTGAGACATGCCTCTACATGCTGGTAGACTGATAGAAGTGCTAGAGTGGACCGCTGGAATGGACTGCTTGAATTGCGGAGCTGGAGCGCTGGGCACAATTATAACAGAAGTTGCATTCATACTGTCAATGCTTTAGCTTAACATACATAAATATAGTTAACTGGCCCTAGACAAGGCTAGATTTTTTTTAAAAATCTAGTCAAAATAAAAGCTATCAAATGGTAACAGGAATTTGTTGGGAGGGCTTAGACAAGACTGAATTTCAAAATAAAAGGTCCAATATGGTAACATTAGTTTACCAGACCACCCAAACACAGCAGCATTTTCAAAATAAAAGGTCTTTGATTGCATTATAATCAAATTTAAAGCTTTTTTTTTTTTTAAAATTCAATACTTGCATTGAATTGAAAAATATTAAGTCTTCAATCTACTCTTTAAAATTCAACTACATTTCCTGCTTTTCTCCACAGACTTCATTTAAGCTTTAAAATGGTAGCAAAGTAATTATTCTTCTACAGTACACATCTAAGTTTAATGCCTTTCCAACAGGTCACAGTGCAGTTATACTTCTTCCATACATTTTTCAATCAACTACTGCTTCTGCATACTGTCAAATACAGAAACTTAAAAACTTAAACTTAACTTAACTTAGAAACCATGCAGATGTTAAAATGTGATGCTCTTTAAAAAGTATAAAAGTAGCAAAACACTGAATACCTTAAATGTCCTTAATTGTTAAGCATTTCTTCCCTTCACCTTTTCAGTTATTTAATTTTAACTTCCACCTTTGACAGTATATCAGTTTAGCGTCAAGCTTTTCTAGTAAATTATTTCAGCTCTTAGCCTCTTTATGTAATTCGATTCAGCTTCAGATTCTGGAAGTTAAACAGTTCAACATGCTGGTTTTTCAGCAGGACGGTACAATGCATCTGCACTTTAAGATTTGTGTATTTTGCAATTTATTGTAGCTTTCACATAATTTCACACTCTGTAGGAAATGCACCTTTTAGTTTTACAATTAATTTTATTAATTTTGACATGAGCCATATTTATACTGAAACAATTCCACATTTGCATTTTCGATCTTTGGAGTGTAGCTCATTGTTGGGCAGACATCACTCAGTATGCCAAATGCATCTGTACTGCTTTGCTAATTTAAAGAAGTGAGACAAACATACAACTTTTTCTGAATCCATGGCGGCAAAGGAATATGTCAAGTTGAGGAATAACTTGGCAAGAAAAGGACAGGGGAAAAAGTACTGCATATCCAAAAAGGAATGAATTTTCAGGTTTTACCAAATATTTTATACACTTAAATGGGTTAATATTGGACAAATTTGTAAAAATGAATGTGGCTAATTCCCAAATGCTGGTCAATAATAAAAAAACAAAAATCTTGAAAACTGCAATCTTGTATTTTCTTCAACAATCATAAACATAAACATTTAATGGAGGGGGCTCTCTTTCTCTCTCTGCAAGAATTTAAGAGCATTCATGGATACACTTCTAAGATTAATTGTTAATAGGAAGCAAGGCCCAGAGCCTGCAATGGTTTCACATGACATCAGGCACAGTGTGTGTATGAAGTACCTTGGACCACTCTGAAGCCTCCCACACAGTAAGGCAGAGGCGGCCCTCACAGCCCTGCAGAACAGGAGGTTTTCCTCCTTGGCAATACAGGTCCCTGGTGTGGATGAGTGAGCCATTCTGTAGATGGTAAACACAAACCACCTCTCTCTGCTGAAGACCTTTACCACATGTGACGGAGCAGGGTCCCCACTCTCGTGTCACCCACCTGAGAAAAGCAAATGTATATTTGAGATGGTTGAGTCTAAGGGTGTTTTCACATATAGTAGTATATAATAGTATATGAACCGAACTCAGTCCTCTTAAAGTGCACCAAAAAGTGCACTTTCAAATTCTAATTTGTGTAAGTCAGAACAGCCTGACAATGCTTCAGCCCTTATGCATATATTTTTCTCAGATCTAAGACTATCAAAGGCTACAGAAGCTCAAAAACCATAGTTCAATTCCCCAATCACAAAAGATGAAGCATTACTGGCTTTTAAATCTATGCCATCTGGAAAGGCCCCAGGGCCAGACGCATTTGGATATGAGTTTTATAAAGAGTTCAGCAATATTCTCTTTGACACTGTGCTGGCTATGTTCAACCATTCATTTGAAAATGGGATCCTAAATCAATCACTGAGGGAAGCTAATATCTCTCTTATCCTCAAGAAGGGAAAATGCCCTGACAAGTGCACCTCCAACAGGCCAAGGACCCTTCTCAATGCTGACCAATAATTGCTCTCCAAAGCCATGCGTCTTGAAAAAGTACTACCTCACATCATTAAGGAGGACCAGACCAGCTTTATTATAGGCCAGAACTATTGTGATAGTATGAGAAGGCTTCTTAATATTATTTAGCTTTGCCAGGACTTCAAAGACCCTGCCCTTGTGCTTTCTCTGGATGCTGAGAAGGCATTTGACCGGGTTGAGTGGTCTTACTTGTTTTATGCATGGAAAGAATTTGGGCTGGGAGACACATTTGTTAGCTGGGTCAGGGTTCTTTACAATAATCCAACAGCGGCAGCTCTGACAAATGGTCTGAAATCTAATAATTTTCCCCTTGATTGCAGGAATAGACAGGGTGACCCTCTCAGCCTATTGCTCATTGATCATTATTGCTCATTATTGAACCACTGGCATAAGCAATAAGGCAGAATGCTCTTCTATCAGGTATACTTGTTGTTGTGAGAGGGAGCATAAAATTTCATTGTACCCAGATGACGTGTTAATATTCTTATCGAGACCACAAACCTCTATTCCCTGCTTGATCCAAGTCATTTCAACATTTGGCACTTTTTCAGGGTATAAATTTGCAAAGTCTGAAGCTATGCCGCTGGGGTTGCTTACATCCATCCCAAGCCTTTTAGAGCCATTTCCTATCATTGCTCACCCGCCGGTTTTATCTTCTTGGGTGTGTACATAACACCTACATATAGGGACACTGAGGAAGGAAGGTCAGATTAGTGTACAGCACAATGCACACCATAAAACAATATACAATGATCAATATACACAATCAATGCAATAATAAATCTCCATTATGTAGCAAAGCATTTGCATACTCCCATCTCAGCCATTAAAAAGTCTGTGACTTGAGTTTTAAAATCATTAATTGAAATGAAGCTCTGAAGCTTCAGAGTTTTTTGAAGTCCATTCCAGGCTGAGGGAGCAGAGTACATGAATGCCCTCTTCCCAAACTCAGTGCGAGCTCTGGGAACTGAGGCAGATAGACAGTCCTGGGATCGCAAGCTGTAAGATGGATTGTGTGTGAAAGTGAGGTATGTATAGAGGTATGAAGGTAGTAGGACAGCCAACCTACATTAGCATACAGAGTACAGTGATGGGTGTGTGATTTACAGCAAGTAATAAATCTCAATACACCATGATAAGCAGCATCCAGCATGAGCAGTGACGTGGAACAGGCATTCATATACAATACATCACCATAGTCTAGCAACGGCAGAAAAGTTGCAGCAACAAGCTTCTTTTTAGAGATAAAAGAATAACACAATTTATTTCGAAAATAGAAGCCCAGCCTTACCTTTAGTTTCTTATTAAAATGAACATCCTGCCTAGACTACTCTACTCTCTTCAAATGATCCCTATTATTATTATCAAGGTGCTTAAAGGCTGACTGAGTTCATTCATCTGGAGCAAAAGGAAGCCCCAACTTAATATGTCAAAACTCCAAATGGTCAGCTCTGATGGGGACTTAGATGTATCTAATGTGAGACTTAATCAGTTGGCAGTACACCTTCGTGCTAGCAGATTGGCTCAAATATGACCCAGCCTCAATCTGGCTCGATATTGAATCCTCTCAGTCCAGATGCCCTTTGTGGAATCTGTTGTTTCTCAACAACTTTAAGTCTGTCAAGGACCTCTGTACTCTAACCCTGTCACTTTTATGTACCTTGAAGGCCTGGAGATCCATCCATATAATAGAGGGTCGTGCTCAGTTAATATCTCCGCTTACCCCTATTCTCAACAACCCAGAGTTTCTGCTTGGCTGTCAAGACCAGAGCTTTAAAACGTGGTACATGCAGGGGGCTTACTAAGCTTGGGGATTTATTCAGTGGCCAGATCTCATTATCTTTTCAGCAGTTACAGTAGTGATACAGGTTATTGAATTGTGAGGGTTTTTTTTTAGATATTTACAACTCAGACACTTTATTGCTAAAGATGCCACATTAATAATCAGTAAAGGCATTGTCTTTACAGGTATCCAATAAACACATTATTGTATTCCATAGAGCCCTAAACCCCAACTCAGCTTTAACCTCCCAAGCTAATAAGCATGCCTGAGAAAGAGACTTGGGCATCACTATTGATGACCTGGAATGGCAGGCAGTGTGGATCCGGTAACACTTTAGATTACGGCCCGCAATTTACACTGTAACTATCGGGTAGTTACGGTGTAATCTTTTGTACTAAGGGTGTACCAGTGTAGTACGTATCAATACATATATGTAGGTACAGGGGAACAAGATGTAAAGTTATGGAATAAGGGGCTAACAATTTGTGAATTTACAGAGAATTTATATGATAGGGTTTTTTAACTATTATAACAGGGTATGTGCGACCTGCTGATCAATAATATGGACGTTTGGGGGGAATTTAGAGAGTACAGGTTTCTTTCCTGTAGCTCATTTAAGTGTTTATTGGCCTCATCTACCAACACCTCTAATTCCATAGAGTCGAATTTCACTTTGCGCTTTCTCTCCAAACTTGCCATGCTGCAAACCATAAAACACGCAAAACCCTCATTTAAATAGGCTGTCTCCAACACGTTTGCACCTGTTGTCATTTGCGCAAGCACTCTTAGTAAATCACCCGCAAACCGCGGTTCAGCCCCACACACAAAATTCTAGATTGCGCAGGCAAATTAGTACACACAAATTGGGATCTTAGTAGATCCGGCCCAAAGTGTTTTGTTTTGGGATTTTTTCACCCCCTTCTTCCTCTTCTAAGGAAGAAGGTGGAAGAAGGATGTTTTTCTATTAATTCAGAATTATTACAACATTGTATAATTTAAATCTGTACTGCAAATTCTGTCATTATTTATTTATTTATTTATTTTAATTTATTGTATAATTTACTGTACAATGTATCACTGGGTGACACACCTACACACGTTATTTATGTATGTCAAAAATGTTTTGTCATCGTTACATAGGCTATATAACATGGGTTAAATGTATGAAATGCCATGATGACAATAAAATAAAGTGACACAGATTTGGTTAAGAAAAACGATAAAAAGCAATGCCAATAAGGCATAATATGTAATAATAATGGTCATAATAATAATAATAATGATAATACTAATAATAATAATAATGATAATAAGGCAAGAGTACTCATGGATGTAGTACTATGTTGTTGTTTTTTAATTAAACTTGTGACCTATAACTTTTCACATCAGCGTCATCAAAATTCAGTGATTTGAATGGGTACGCTTCATTAATATCAAATGACAGCAGGGGTCGACAGTGTTGTCCATCCATCCATCCATCCATCTTCATTCGCTTATCTGAGGCCGGGTCGCGGGGGCAGACAGCCCTCTCCCCGGCAACTCTTTCCAGCTCCTCCTGGGGGACCCCAGGGCGTTCCCAGGCCAGACGAAGACGAGATGCTGTGTATAAGGAAAGAGAAGAAGCTCTCCGCTCGCCCTCACTTTGGCGTACGCTGGTGAGATGAGGCAACGTACCTAATCTGTTTCCTGCTAACCAGAGAGATGTAGATGGCACTGCTGTTAACCTACTTTACAGCAAACATACGGTGGGTAATAACTTGAATATATTTACTGGCACAAAACAGTCTGGTTTGTGGCTCATGTCAAATGTAGCGTTAACTGATCAAATGAAAGGTGTTGTTGGAGTGTTAGCTCGCTAATCATTTACTAGCTACCGGACGTTCACATCCAAGCTAACGCTGTGCGTCCAGCTAAAAGAGCAAAGCGTTAACGTTAAGTTAAGTTTATTTACTTTATTAATCCCCCTGAGGGGAAATTCAATGTTTTCACTCTTGCTTGTCAATTACACACAGGTCCGAAAGACACACACATGCACAAAGAGGACCTATACATGCACAGAGTGGAGAGATGTCAGCGTGAGGGGGCTGCCCTTGATGAGGCGCCCTGAGCGGTTGGGGGTTCGGTGCCTTGTTCAAGGGCACCTCGGCAGTGCCCAGGAGGTGAACTGGCACCTCTCCAGCCACCAGTCCACGCTCCATATTTTATGATCCCTGCAGCTTTTACAACCTGACACTTCTGATTGCTCTAATAGAATTTAAAGTGTCATTACATTCAATGCAATAGAATATAATGCATGTGGGTTTGTGTCTTACAGACGCAGAAACATGTTCAGGTGATTTTATTCACATAGGAACTTTCAGTAAGCTAATCTGCTAACATTACTGTCCTGTCGTGCGCTACAGCACTGAAGTTAGCTTACGACTCGTCGCATGTGATTAAGGATGAGAGGAAAAGTTTAGGGGAACATAAATAATGATATTTAGTGGCGGATTCTCCATTTTTGCACCACTTATACTTATTAAAGTGTTAGTGTTATACATCGTAGCAAAGGTCTTAATGCTGTTAAACACAGTTTAAAAATTTTGAAACCTTTATTTTGCTTATGAAAAAAGGGTGATTTCACTGATAATTATGAATCAAAAACCACTAACGTTATACTTAGACTTGTCAAATCTAGACTAAATAACTAAGGACACTTACTAAGACTCACTAAAACACAGTTTAAAATTTGTGAAACCTTTATTCTTTTGGGGAAAACTGAAAAAAGGCAATTTCACTTCTTTTTTCCCCACCCAGACCACATTAAACAGATTTGACAATGTATTCTTAAGAGATATTGTGTGATCGTATTTCAAAAGGTAAAAATATGTCTAAGTATAATAAGTATAGTGTTTTGATCTGGACCTGGTCTAATGTGGTTGATGGAGAAATATCAGTGAAATCGCCCTTTTGCTGTTTTCATAAGCAAAATAAAGGTTTCACGATTCCGAAACTGTGTTTTAAGGCTTTTGCTATGATGCATAACACTCTTTAATAAGTGTAAGTGGTGCAAAACAGGAGAATGAACCATTAATAACATTTCCCAGAACTTTCACTTAACTAGGAATCGGAAGCTAACTTTAGTGTTGTTACTGCACTGGCTAAACTTTCCTCCTTTGAACTTACATACACTTATTATTGCTTTGCTGTCGATTAGCAGCATATCAAACATGTCGTATGCTGCATTTAGGTTTTTGTCAGTAAAATAAAATAAAAGGGAAAGTCACTCATGCTTCTGGTTTCATGGCTTATTGCTAGATGACTACTGTTGTTGCAAGCTTGTTCCACACGGTAATTGGAAATTAACTGCAACTTTTCCATTATTAATGTGCTACATATTTGTAATGGTCTGTTGACAAACTAGAAATTAGGCGCTGATTTTAGTTAGCTATACAGTATTTCTTGTATAGCCTTATGTAGACCATTAATATTGTATTTATTCACATCTAGAGTGCCAGCGATGATGGCTTTGCGGCTGTGTGGCCAACAGTTTGATGGCTTCTCACCAACTGGGAGACATCATGGCTGTCAGAAATCCAGATATCTCAGACTATATATTATGGTTAAGAGACTG